TGTGTGGAAGGGACCTAAATTGTTTAGATTAGCCCTGAATGGGGAAGGGCATCCCAATGCGTTAGGGTCAGTAAAGCCTGGAACCTGCCCTTCGGAAGTTTGTTGCAAGGGACGTCCCAGATGCAGCCTGAAGGGCCTGGCGCGAGGGGTTTCAGGCCTCTGGAGGCAAGGGAAGGGGGAGAAGTTCTCAGCGCGCGAGGCAAGCGCGAGAGCGAGGCAGAGGCAAGCGCGAGACGCAAAAGAGGCAAGCGCGAGACGCAAAAGAAGTAAGCGCGAGCCCTCCAGGCAGGGCTGAGAGACTCCTCTACTCACCGCCGCCGCCTCGACCACCGAGCGCCTCTCCAGGAGGACCGCCAGCGCCGCCAGGAAGAGCGCGACCCCTGCCTTGCGCCCGCCGCCCATCCTCACCGCCGCTCTTCGCCGTTCCTCGTCCCGCTTCGGACGCTTCTGAAGCCGGCGAGGCCCCGTCGCGGTCAAGCCCGCGGGTGGGCGGCGGCGGCGGCCCCTCCCCTTTCCCCGCCCCCAAAGCCCCGGAGTCGAGCTCTCCTCGAAGACCTGAGCAGGAGCCCAGCCGGCAGGCAGGAGAAAGCGGGAAGGAAGGAAGGAAGGAAAGCAAGGCTGGCGTGAAGGTGAGAAGCGCGCGCGCTGCCCAACTTTGCGCCTGAACCTAAGGCGCACCTGAGGGAGCCGCGCGCGCGGGAGAGAGAGAGAGAGAGAGGGAGTGAGGGCTCGCGAGCCCTCACTCCCTCTCTCTCTCTCCCGCGCGCGCGCCCTCCACCCCCTCTCTCTCTGTGGAGAAAAGGCGCGTGCCCTCCGCCTTTCCTCTCACCTGTGTGTCTTTGCCCTCCCTGCCCGGCTTATAGACGGCGCGCGCTCTTGGAGAAAGGAACCAAGCAAGGGTCCGCTTTGATCTCAATATGCGTCCCTCCTCCTTACAGGTTTCCCCAGACGCCGCCAGAGCAAAGAAGCAAGCCAGAAGTCGGTTACTACTATGAGGGGCGCCTCCCTCTTCCTCCCCACAGGACGGTAAGCAAGCAGGCCTCGCCCTCCCCTTTTCGAAGAGCCCGCTTGAGCCCCCCCCCCCCCCCCCCTACTCAGGATCTCCTCAGCCTCGACGCCGAGGCCGGGCTGCTCTAATGCTGCACCTTGAAGGGATGCAAACCCTATCTTTTCCCCACAGGACAAGACCCATTGCGATCCTCCTCGGACTGGCTGTCTTTCTAAGTGGCAAAGCGGACGCTGTAAGTAAACCATCTTTTATGTGTTGTCCATGGCTGGAATCACTGGGTTGCTGTGAGTTTTCCGGGCTGTGTGACCATGTTCCAGAAGCATTCTCTCCCGACGTTTCATCCACATCTATGGCAGGCATCCTCTGAGTAGATGAATAAATCCTCTGAGTAGATCAGGACATTAGGAGAGAATGCTTCTGGAACATGGTTTTATTTGATTGATTTATTTAACGTGTCAGGAGCGAACCAAACAGTTGTATTGCATTTTAAAAACACACACACACACAAAGGTTTGCAAACTTGGCATTCTATTAAATGTCCTGTGACTTGGGTCCCATGTAAGCCACCCGGAGTCCCTTCAGGGAGATGGACACAGGGTAGAAAAATAAAGTTCTTCTTCTTCTTCTTGACCAGTATCTGGCCACTTGGAGTGCCTCTGGTGTCACTATAAGAAGGTCCTCCATTGTGCATGTGGCAGGGCTCAGGTTGCATTGCAGCAGGTGGTCAGTGGTTTGCTCTTCTCCGCACTCACATGTCATGGACTCCACTTTGTAGCCCCATTTCTTAAGGTTGGCTCTGCATCTCGTGGTGCCAGAGCGCAGTCTGTTCAGCGCCTTCCAAGTCACCCAGTTTTCTGTGTGCCCGGGGGGGGGGGGGGGGGGGGGGAAGTCTCTCATTTGGTGTCAGCCATTGATTGAGGTTCTGAGTTTTAGTCTGCCACTTATGGACTCTCACTTGCTGAGGTGTTCCAGTATGTGTCTGGAACATGGTCATACAGCCTGGAAAACTCACAGCAACACAAACCATCTTCTTTTTGAGGAGAAGGGGCCCATTTTATCCCCAGGAACAACTTCTTCACAGTCCTTTTGCATCTAAGGCTGGATCTCTGACTCTTTCCACACAGCTGTATAAAATCCACATTAAACCATATTATATGGCAGTGTGGACTCAGACAACCCAGTACAAAGCAGATATTGTGGATTATCTGCCTTGATATTATGTGTTATTCAGAAATGAAGTTTAACTGCTTTGAAGTGGATTTACTAGGCTAGGCTGCCATATAATCTAGTCCAAGGCAGCTGAATTTCATCCTGAAACTTCATGGTTTGGCAGTGTAAACACAGGCTGGATCTGCACTGCCCTATATCTCAGGATCTGATACCAGATTATCTCCTTATTCCAGATTATCTGGCAGTGTAAACTCATATAATTATTATGAATGATGTATTAGTACTATGCTAATAATGTAGTATGTTGTATGTACATATGACTTGTAAGCTGCTCTGAGTTCCCTTCGGGGTAAGAAGGGTGGCATATAAATGTCACAAATAAATAAATAAATAAATAAAATCCAGTTCAAAGCAGATAATCTGGGATCAGATTCTAGGAAAGAGGGCAGTCTTAGGCCCCTTCCACACAGCTGAATAAAATCCTACATTATCTGATTTGAACCGGAATATATGGCAGTGTGGATTCAGGGCCCTTCCACACAGCCCTATAACCCAGAATATAAAGGCAGAAAATCCCACAGTATCTGCTTTGTGCCAGTATCTGCTTTGTGCCAGCAGGACTGAAGACCAACAGGTAGGAGGTTCTAATCCGGGGAGAGCTCAGATGAGCTCCCTCTATCAGTTCCAGCTCCCCATGTGAGGACATGAGAGAAGCCTCCCACAAGGATTGTAAAATATCAAAAAAAACCAGTCATCCCCTGGGCAACGTCCTAGCAGACGGCCAATTCTCTCACACCAGAAGCAGCTTGCAGTTTCTCAAGTTGCTCCTGACATGAAAAAAAAACTGGGTTATCTTGAGTCCACACTGCCCTATATCCTAGTTCATGGCAGAAAATGTGGGATTTTATTCAGCTGTGTGGAAGGGCCCTCAGATAACCCAGATATTGTGTGATTTTCTTCCTTGATTTTCTGGGTTATGTGACTGTGAAATAACATTGAAGAAGTTGCTCCTGAGGATAAAATGCTGTAGATGTTGGAGATTTGAATGATGTTTTTGTTTTGTTTCATGCCGGGAGTGTACAGGATATTGGCATCACTTTATGTCTATATCATAGTTACATCAGCATCTCAGCAGCGTAGCCATTGAATTACTGTATATTCTGGCGTATAAGACTACTTTTTAATCCAAGAAAATCTTCTGAAAAGTCAGGGGTCGTCTTATACACGGGAGTAGTCTTATACACGGGGGTCATCTTATATGCTAGAGTAGCCTTATGCATGGGAGTTGTCTTATATGTAGGAGTAGCCTTATATGCCGGGAGTCGTATTATAGAGCGGGTGCTGAAACTTCCAATCCGGATTGGAGAATCTGTGGTTGCTGCATATTGTGGGGTGAGCTCAAAAATGGCGGTGGCAGCGTCCCTGCCGTATGCAGCAACTGTATGAAAGCATTAAGGGCAACGCTGTACAAGTACAGTAGAAGAAAATCATCAGGATTTGTGGACTTAATGCGGTCCCGATGGTGAGGTGAAGGGGCGCCTCACCGGGAAGATGTAAGTAAGTGAAGGACGGAGCAAGCTGCAGGCGTCCAGGGCGCCTGGGATATGGAAAAAAGCGATAGTGTGGCTCTGGGCCCAGAAAAACACACCTCTTTTACCTGTCTGGCTCGCCCTTGTATCCTTTTACCGTACCTCCTCCTCTGCCTCTCAGATCTCGCTCCTGAAGACTGCAGTGAAGTGGTGCAGGTGCGCATGTGTGAGTTCTGAGAGGCAGAGAAGGAGGGACAGTAATAGGAAAATTACCATATTGAAATCAAATCTGATGCTTTTAAATTTTTTATTTGGTGCGTGTTGGAAGAGGGGTAGTCTTACACGGCGAGTATATCCCAAACTTTATATTTTAATTGGAAAAGTTGGGGGTCGTCTTATACGCCCAGTCGTCTTATATGCCGGAATATACGGTACTTGTCCCATCAAGACAACCTGGTGAAGTGGATATAGACGTAAATTGACACCAAAAGACAGGCTTAAAACTCTGCTCAGCCAGAGTGAAATAACCTTTGATATGTTTTTATCACTTAATTTCCTCACAGAACACCTGGAAATTTAAAATGGTATAAAACAGATGTAAGTTGTATATTCATCATATAGGTGTGGTGGACTTTAATGGAAGAGTTTGGATTTTGAAGTATATTTGAACTTGGAACTGAGAGAAAGAACAGTTTTTATTTCCAGTTAATTCAGTTAAATTAAACTAGTAAAGTACGAGTATATAATCGAATAATATATGGTGAATATTTAAAGCCATGTTTCTCAATCTGCACTCTTCCAGTTTTGGATTTCAGCTCCCAGAAATTCCAACCAATTTACCAGCTGTTAGACATGGTGGGAACCAAAGTCTAAAACACCTGAAGGAACACAGTTTGAGAACCACTGATTTAAAGCAATGGTGCTAGTAACAGGAGGAAATCTTAGCAGGTGCATTGGGGGTGTGCAAGCAACTACAGCAGAGGATAGTAGTCATTAGAATCATAGAATCAAAGAGTTGGAAGAGACCTCATGGGCCATCCAGTCCAACCCCCTGCCAAGAAGCAGGAATATTGCATTCAAAGCACCCCCGACAGATGGCCATCCTGCCTCTGTTTAAAAGAGACTTATTAAAGAGACTTATTGTGGCATGAGTGCTCCATGGAGGAAGCATGATTTGGATGTTGTAATCATTCTGTTAAATGGACAATAGGAGTTAAAGGATCTGGATCAAAAGAAATATTTTGCATGTTAGATATCAAATCCCCATCCCTGCTTAGGATCTGAAGCAAGTTACTTTTTGTGGCCTTATAACTGAAGATGTATTTCTTTAAGTATTTACATCATTTCATATATTCATAGATCTCAGGTGGCATATAATGAAATCAATATGAACAGTTTAAAACAATGTTTAAAAATTAAAATAATTGAAATTAATAAAAACATATCACATTATTTAATGCTTAAAACAAGACACTTTCAAAACAGATAAAACAACTGTAAAATGTAACACATTTGGATAAAATCAGTTTGACAACAAGGTTTGCAATGGAAAGACATATTTTTACATTAGGGCTAATCGGGTCTTGGAGGGGATGGTATTCCATTGCTGGTGGACCATGGCAAGAGAGGATCTCCTGCATCTGTGCATGCTGTAGTTCCGCCTCCAACAAATCTCGGTTTTTTGCTATGTTCACTCAGTTATCAAGGTCCAACTTAAGTGTTATTACTGCACTTTAAATTGAATCAGAACATACTGAAAGTCATTGCAATTCTTTTAAAAACCAGTGTTACATGGTTTGGGTACAATGTAGCACTCTGGTTGCTACATTTTGCATTAGTGCAGCTTACTTGCCATCTTCAAAGATAGCTCTATGTAGAGTGTTTTGCATAATCAGGAAATTATCAGCATATGGCCTACTATTATCCTTGTTCAGAAATGGTTGCATCTGGCAGACCCATTGAAGCTTGTGCTAAGAATTCTGAGTATGCATCTACACTGTAGAATTAAAGTCGTTGCGCAACATTTTATTAGCCGTGGCTCAGTGCTAAGGAATTCTGGGAGTTATAGCTTGGTGAAGCAATTCTGAAAAGCTTTAATTGCATTGACATAAAACACTGTCAAAGTGGGTTAACTCTACAGTTTGTATGTACAGTGTTCATATAGATTCTCCAAGAAGTTATTTTGATTCTAGGGTAACCTATCTCTTGGAATCTGGTCAAACTCCCAAAACAGCTGGTAAACTGGCTGGGATTTCTGGGAGTTGTAGGCCAAAACACCTGGGGACCCACAGGTTGAGAACCACTGCTCTAGGAAAGACCTAGAAGCTGTGCACCTGATTCTCTCAGGTGCAGCCTCATCCAGGATTTGTGTTCCAAACATTGGCAAACAACTTATCTGAAACTTGGACCTGAGAATCACCAATCTAGAGAATGTCCATCTTATCAGGATTTAGTTTCCTGAATCAAACCTCTGCAAGCCCCAACGACATTTCTGATGATAAGGAACATACTGCTGGTATTTAACTCCAAAACC